TCAGTAATCATTAGTTTGTTCTTTTTTTTTAAGTTTATTTATTTATTTATTTATTTATTTATTTATTTGAGAGAGAGACAGAGAAAGACAGCAAGAGCAGGGGAAGGGCAGAGAGAGAGAGAGAGAGACAGAGAGAGAGAATCCCAAGCAGGCTCTGCACTTTGAGTGTGGAGCCTGATGTGGGGCTCGAACTCTGAGATCAAGACCTGAACCAAAATCAAGAGCTGGATGCTCTCTACCTAGTAAGCCACCCAGGCACCCCCATTGGTTTGTTCTTTATAGTTAAGAGTCTGTTTCTTGGTTTGCTTCTCTCTCTCTCTCTCTCTCTCTCTCTCTTTTTTCTTCTCCCTAGAGAATTCTGGAAGTTTTTGTTGTTGTTCTTGTTTATTTTTGTTTTGTTTTGTTTTGAGAGTAGCCTACCTATATATATGTATATTTTAAAAAATGTTTTAATGTTTATTTTAGAGAGAGAGACACACACACACAGGTGGGGAAGGGCAGAGAGAGAGACAGAATCTGAAGCAGGCTCCAAGCTCTGAGCTGTCATCCCAGAGCTCCATGTGGGGCTTGAACCCACAAACTGTGAGATCATGACCTGAGCCAAAGTTGGGCGCTTAACTGACTGAGCCACCCATGTGCCCCAAGCCTACCTATATTTGTAAAGTGAACTGTGGGTGATTTAATTACCTTTGCAGCAGTATATATTTGTGAGTTGGGATTTTCATTGTTTTTAAGTACAAAACAATTTTGATGTTCAATATGGCATATATGGTGCCTTCTCGAGATCACCTTGTAGTTCAATGTTCTTAGTTTGGCTAAGCAAAAAACTTTCACTGGGCTATATCTTCTAAAAAAAATTAACTTTAGTCTGTATTTTAAATGTACTGTCTTGCATTGAATACATTAATAATCAGACTTAAAATAGGTTGATAACTGGGGCACCTGGGTGGCTCAGCCAGTTAAGTTAAGCTCTTGGCTTTGGCTCAGGTTATGATATCACGTTTTGTGAGTTTGAGCCCCACTTCGAGCTCTGTGCTGGCAGTGAGGAGTCTGCTTGGAATTCTCTCTCTCACCCTCTGTCTCTGCCCCTCCCTTGCTCATGTGCTCAGTCTCTCTCTCTCAAACAAATAAATAAATAAACTTAAAAAAAAAGCACAATTCTTTATGAATTTGTTTTAATTTTTTTTAACATTTATTCATTTTTGAGACACAGAGAGACAGGGTGTGAGTGGGGGAGGGGCAGAGAGAGGGAGACACAGAATCCGAAGCAGGCTCCAGGCTCTGAGCTGTCAGCGCAGAGCCCGATGCGGGGCCTGAACCCACGGGATCATGACCTGAGAGGCAGTCAGATGCTCAACCGACTGAGCCACCCAGGCGCCCCATTTATGAATTTGTTTTAAAGATTTTAAGTGTAGATATTGCCTTTGCTATTGTAAAAAGTCCAATAGAGTCTTCTTCTTTCTCAAAAGACACATGCTATAAAAGAGAGGGGAAGTGATTAATAAATGTATTTTACATAAACAAGAATTTGTTAAATGTAAGAAACATTTAAACAGTTTAGACAAGTTTAGACATGAGAAATTTTAGTGACCTTATTTTTGTCTCTTATTTCTGTATCATTATACAAATAACTACAACTATGTCACTAGAGGATTTTTTTGTTTCTTCATTTATTTAGTGTTGAATTAATTGTACTGTATACTGTATAATGTGAAGTATGTTATAAAAACACACTTCTTACTCATCAAAGTATAAATTATTTAGTGAGTGTTCTTTCTGTAATTCCTTGAGAGAAGTGAGGAACTAGAGTGTATGCCTCTTTCCCACTTCTTAAAAATTCAGAAGAATGCCTTGGAGAATTATATTGTCACTTAAGTTTACCTCTCAGAGTGGTTAGTATCTACACAAACACATTTCTATGATATAGTAAAAAACCGCTCTTCATTAAAATTTAATTGTAGTTAGTTTTTGCTTTCAAAGGCTTTTTGTGAAAATTTTATTGCTTTGATATACCTGAAAATTTCCCAAAATGATGAACTTTTATCTTGTTTCTTTAAAAAGAATAACTTTTGGCATATCATTAAAGTTAATATTAATTAATTTTTCTTGGTATTATTGAATGCATTCTTGCATTCTGCATTGTCGCAACTGCTGTGAAAGTAAAAAATATAATTAATCCAACAAACATACAAAATATCCATATATTCTAGACTGGCAAAGTGCAAAATACAGAGTTTACCGAGATAACAAAAGACAGACTGAAGTCCCTGCAAAGCCAGTTGAGAAACAGGGAATACATATATTAGGCACTGGAATGATGTTTTATATTGAATGTTATAGGTAAAATAAATTTTATTCATTCAACAGCGACCTATTAAATAATAGTTTAGCAATTCTTTTAAATATGTGTGCTGTATTATATGTTAATTGTTACATGAAGCTACTGAATTCTTTTTTATTCATGACTTATTTAAACAATTGATTGATAACAAAGGAACTGTGTATTTTAATAACACTTCATATGCCTCTGTCAGTGGGATTCTCAGGATGTTTATGAGAGGTATACAGAATTAAACTTATATCACCTTATGTTCTTAGAAGTCCGTGCATCGATAACTGATAAAAATAAATTATTGAAGGAGGATATTATACTTTTATCCAATTTACAATTTTTATTTTATGTGTAACTTCTAGGCAACATGGTTTCCAAAATCTGACTGCTGTATAATTTAAAAGTTTATCTTTCCTTTTGTCTACTGAGGAATAAAGGAATAAAACAAGCCTCACATTTTTGAACACAGGGCCTCTGTGATATTATTCTTTCTGACTTAGAAAACCACTGATTGATTACCTTCTCAGCCAATGTTGCTATTCATTGTTGAACCATATGTACTCTTAGAATTATAAAGCATTTTTTTCTATTGGATAAAACTGGCCAGATATACTTTTTGTGTATATTTAAATTAATTCCAACAGCAGAGACTCTGGAAATGTAGAAAGGCATACTACTGAATTTAAATAATCTCTCCATGCTTGTCATTTTACATGGATAGTATCATAAAACAAGTAACGACAGATTAAGACCTGCCTAGCAGAGGGAAAACTAAATTACATGACTTTTATTAAGGCATAAATAAACCTATTAACCATTATCTGGAATACCAATTAGTAGACAGTGCACTGACAATTTTATTTATCAACATTAAACACAATTATTAATTACAGACCTGATGAATCTAGCAGTAAGCAGGCCATGTTGGATATGCTGGGACCTTAAGTCCATTATGTGAGAGGGATGATTACCGAAATCCTGTGGGGAAATAAGTAATTGTCGTTGTAAAATTTTAATTGCCTTGGAATAAGGCAAATTATATTTTCTTGTCCGAGCATATAAATAGTTTGACATTAAGGTAACAAGCGTCAGTAGTTGTAAATAGAAAATGAATTTATGTTAGGTTTTAAAACAAAGAAAAGAGTGATGATGAATTTTTAGTGTCATAGTGGTTTAGTGTAAATGATATAATGTAAATGAATGCAGATTTTCTTTAGCTGTATTGTTTAATAGGTAATCTATTTTCTGCATTCCTTTTTTCATAGTGAAAATTAATGTGGGAGGGGACTTTTTGAATGAATTACTACAGGTGAATGGGGATTGTATAACTGAGAAAATATTTTAATTGTGTGGTGATTGGCAGAGTTGTAAAATGAGCAAGAGACAGTTCACATTTTCATCGTGTCTTTTTTTTTTTTTTTTTTTTTTTTTTTTTTTTTTTTCCGAAGATCCAAATTCCAGAATTTGTGGACATTTACTCGTAGGTGCAGCCAAGAATTCTTTTGCAAAACTCATGGATAAAATTAGTCTGGCAATGGAGAGCATACCTTTGCACAGTAGCAAGAGTATTACATATGTAGAAAAAGATTCTCTGGTTCAGAGGCTGGCTCGTGGACTTCATAAAGTAAATACACTGGCCCTGAAGTATGGTCTACATGGTCATGTGCCCATTTTGGTATGTATGCAATTTCATTACATAGTGACTTTAGTACTTGTAAATTTAATTCTGAATCACACTTATTTGTAGTTTAAATTAGTTGTGCATGAATGTATCTAGATTTCCTTTGGATTTCATGTAATCTTTTTTTTTTAATGTTTATTTGAGAGAGAGAGAGAGACAGAGAGAGAGAGAGCATGCATGAGCAGCAGGAAGGGCAGAGAGAGAGGAGAGAGAGAATCTGTGCTGTCAGCACAGAGCCTAACACGGGGCTTGATCCCACAAACCATGAGATCATGACCTGAGCCGAGATCAGGAGTCAGATGCTTAGCCGACTGAGCCACCAAGGCACCCCAGACTTCATGTAGTCTTTTAATGTAATACTAAATAGCACTTAAATGTCAAAGTGTCTTAAATATCAAAATACAAAAGTTCTGGCATGAGTTGTGGATTTACTGTTTTCTGTAAGTGGACTGCAACAGAATTCTATGAGACATAAACAGATGTCAGTTCCATTTTCTAGCCCTCTAGATTATTTATTTTCTTTCGTTGTTCATTTCATATAAACCAAATTATTGGTCACATAAAAAATAAAGCCTTCACCTCTAAGTTTCCGTTACAGCTAGTATTGTTTTCTGTATAATCTAAGATACACTTAAGTTGGTAAAAGGGCCATTGCCCCTGATTTATTAGTCAACCTGTAGTTACTGCTTGTAAAATTGCTCTTGATTAACAACAGAAAAGCACAGCATCATTACAGAAGCAGATATTTGGATTTACACAAAGACTGCACGCGGCAGAAGTGGAGCGCCGTTCACTGCGTTTGGAGGTCACAGAATTCAAACGAAACGTGAATGAAATGAAAAAGGAGCTCGACAAAGCCCAGGGTCTCCAAATGCAATTAAATGAATTTAAGCAGTCGGTAAGTATGTGTGATTTAAAATACCGTGGCTCTAGCGTGCTCTTCGCTGATACGTATGCACGCACATATGATCTGTAGATCTACAGATTTCTTTTAGCTTTTTGTTGTTTGTTTTCTCAGATAATGCAGAAGACTTCCCTTCTAAAATTTCCAACAGTACTGCATTCTATACAGTCAAAGTTGCTGGGAGACTAGATCTTAAATATTCTCACCACAAAAAGAAGGGATAATCATGTCATATGATAGAGTTGTTAGCTAGTGCAATATTGGTCATCATACTGTAACATATAAGTGTATCAAGTTACACAGGTTGCACACCTTTACACAGTCTTATATCTCAGTTATACCTCAAAAAACAGGAGTTAATACCTGATGCTTAAGGGAATACTGATTCTGTGTCAGCAGAACTCACAGCCTGTTAAAATGTATACGGTGGCTGAAAGTGTAGAAAAGAGTAAGTTATAGTTAGGAGAGATTAACTGCTTTAGCAAACAAACCCCCAAATGTGTACTAAAAGATAATAAAATGCTTCTCCCAATTGAAGAGTCTGGTGTTTGGAACAGGAGGTGGGATGTTCTCTCTTTTTCTTTTTATATTAAATATTTTGAGTACATTGGATTATTTCTTTTGAAATCAAATTGCTTTTCCAAAGAAATGTTCAATCTAACTTCCATCAAACTCATACATTATTTAAGAAAGCAGAAGATAGCTGAGCAATGGAAGGCTAGGTACCAAATAACATTAAATCAAGATCAAAATGTGTAAATATATGAAGCACAGTAACATGGAGATACACACATACTCTGCTGCCCAGGTTCGTTAGTCACACTGCTGTTTTTAATGTGGATATGGGAATATAGAGTTAAGACATTACCCTGTAACTTCAAAATTGTATTCAATTGATGACAACTAATATAAATATGAATACAAAATTTGTTTCCCAAATCTAGCAGCAAGCTACTTTTAGTACCCTCTTCTTTGGGGAATCTTTGCAAGTTCAACTTCAGTTTAAATGGCTAATTTGGAGGGGCACCTGGGTGGTTCAGTCGGTTAAGCGTCCGACTTCGGCTCAGGTCATGATCTCACAGTTCGTGAGTTCGAGCCCCGTGTCAGGCTCTGTGCTGACAGCTCAGAGCCTGAAGCCTGCTTCAGATTCTGTGTCTCCCCCTTCCCTGCTCCCACTTTGTCTTTCTGTCTCTCAAAAATGAATAAACGTTAAAAAAATTTTTAAAAAAGGCTAATTTGGAATGTGCAGTTTTAACATTTGTGGAAACAGAGGGGCAGATAGCAGTTTAGTTACTAATCCTATGATAATGTAAATTGCTAATGTTAATTATTATTTTAAATAGCTGTGCTTTCAAAGGGCAAAATTTCCTATAAATTAGGTCAAGTAATCGTGAATTACCCTTCTGATTGAAGATAAGTAATACTTCTCTTATGAGTGAATGTCTAAAGACACTGATTTTTGGGGTGCCTGGGTGGCTCAGTCGGTTAAGCGTCTGACTTTGGCTCAGGTCATGATCTTGCAGTTTGTGAGTTCGAGCCTCACTTCGGGCTCTGTGCTGACAGCTCAGAGCC